ATTGGACCTAAAAATAAAAATAATATAAAATTAGAGTTTAAATCCAAAAAAAGCGAGACGTTTTTCATTACATTTGGATCTAAGCAGAAGAGAGAACATTCACATTAAAATAGACCCTTAATTAGACCTTTTTCACTCAAAAGCACATCTTAGTATGGAAGGTGTTAATGAACGCATACCATAAAGGCAGTCTGTGTGTGACTGGTTTGGTCGCAAGTCTCTGACAGGTCGCAAAGTCTTGGTTTCTCCCCAGATGTGAAAAATTCTTAATTTGCACTGTGCTCGCAGACTGTGCTGGGTAGGAAGCGCAGCTGGAGAAGTCGTCCACCTGATGACATTTGCAAACTGAGTCACAGGTTAACTGCTGGTTCTTCTTTAATGGGCCGTCCTGTAGCCATACAGTACAATATCTGCCCCTATGGGCCTCCTAATGAGAACTGAAAATAAATAGATGGAAAATATAGCCTCCCCACAATGGCATGGTTGACATACAAGGCCCCCGTTGGTGGCAGGTCAGGTGATCTGAGCATGCTGAACAAATTCATAATGAGAACTTCCCATTGCGCGTTTTCTGGAGCTTTGCAAAACACAATCCATATTCAAGGTACACCTCTTCACGGATGAAGATCAGGGGTCTCAGTATCACACACAGAACTGCTATATAAAGAAGCAATTCATTCCAGACATGACTGGAAAGTGTGCTGTGTTTCTGGTATACTGCCTAATGGCCAGTGTTGTCTGTGCAGCAGACATCATACCAGATACATGGATATGTGCCATCATTGTTCCATAAAATTCCAGTCTCCCAGGAAATATTGTGTGGGATAATGTACAAAAAAAAAAGTGAACCAGAGGGGAAAAAGAAAATTCCACTGTGGAACTAGATTTGAACAAAGTATTATTCTTTAAGATCTTTCAAATATGAAGTTTATAGACCTTGGCTAACACAACTTTTTATATATATATAATTACATTATTCTATTATTACAGGGTATATTAAAAAGCACAAGGCAGCACACGCCCTCTGTCTTCTGGTTTGTGTCAAGTTTAAAACAAAAATATAGATAGTTGACCACAAACTAGCCTGTAGATCTTTTCAACTTTCCCTGTTGCCTTCTTACATCTGTTTCTATACAGGGGATTTCAAGGCAGAACTCCCCAACATCCATAACCCAACCCACTTCCTCTCTCACTCACTGCCTCTCTCTCTTTCTGATGTACTGACACACACCACAGACAAATCAGGACAATAATCTTCACCCCAAGTAGAAAATATCCTTTAAAGACTCTAGCTCTGACTATATTTTATGAAACAATCCTTGATAAAACTTAGGCCTTCAGTAAACTTGTGCTAAATCTATTGAGATTTCAGAATGGTTCCCGCTGAGAATACGGTCGTACAGCTGCATAACTCCTCTTTCTAGATGCATGATAAACTGCTGTCATTTGGGAATCACTGTATTTGCGGCTGCAAAAAATAAATATACAAGCTTGGTGAATTTCTTAAACTCCCCCAGCAGAGATTTATGTTAAGGATTAAAAACATTTTGAATATGTTATGCACTCCTTGCAAAGTTGTAAAGACAATATTGACATCATGTTCTTTGATTAAATCCTCTTGGTTATTGTTTTTCGTATCCTTACCTATTGTAAATTGTTTCATTACTTGTAAAATGCAAAGGGCAATTTGATGTATTGAACAGAATGAATGTACTATACAGTTCCACCCAGTTCTGAAGAGCCCTGGGAAAATCATTTACCAAGAGCTCCACCTGCTGTTTCTTTGGATATCTGGGCAAAAATAAAGACTGATGTGGGTTTAATGTTTTTATGTATGTCTTGCTTGAATGATTTCTCCTCTCATTTCAGAACTTTTTTGTTGGCTTGGGGATACACAAGATATATGGGTCTACTCACAATAGCGTCAGCACAGACAAAACTGGCACAACAGCAAATATACAAACATAATTCTGTATTGGTGTACTTATATCAGTTGCATGACCTAGGAAAATAGCAGGGACGTGTAGGAAAACACAGGGACCTTTAAGCACTATTGCTACACGTAGATAGTATTGTGTCTGTTATGTGGAGGCTTCCTGTTGAAGCCCACACGGTAGCTGTGATCAGTCAGCAAGGACATCAGCTGCAGCCATAGCAGTCAGTCGGTGGGAAAATGACCCTTATCACAGTACAGAATTCTCTGTTAGCTAAGCTCATTTTCTTCATCAAATAGTCTACTGTTGGAGCAGAGTGACAGCACAGTAATGTATAGCATAGTAGGCTTTAATCTGACTGTGCTGATGGCATGATATCATGTTGTGACTGACGCGACTTTCGTGGTGATGTGACATGTGGCTGGTCCCCGAGAGAACACAGGGTGTCCTGGTTATGCAGGATGAGCAAGTAACCCTGCATGATCACTTGATATGACCGTGAACCAGGCCAGGTGCGACGTGGGAATTCTACTAAAAGAAATGGACATCTCTCTTACAGAGCTTTCCCAGCTCGCCGTTTGTTCCTCTGTTCAACACAATAATAAAGCTTTGTGCACATTGTGCTTAGACCCTTTTAGAATAGTTTGTGCTGTAATGTCGTCATAGAAGCCATGAAGATATTCAAGACCTTGAAAATGCAACTAAAAAGGCCCTGGGAGTCAGGATTAGTTTAGGTTTAACTTTAGTCTCTGCAATGTGAGTGGGCGTAACTGAGACTTTCAGTACCACTGATCTCCTAAGAATGAAAAATGTTATTGCGTTATAGTCTTGTGGACACTGGAGGCACTGCATGCCAGTCTGTGTGGTCAAAAGTACTTATGTGTCATGAAACCTCACAAATATATGTGCTGCTGTTTTAGTGTACTGGTGTCTGTTGGGGGTTGTAGTGTGTTTCAGCCTGAAGGGTTACCCAAAGGTCCTCTGAAGCCTGATTTACTCTAGCAAATATGAAGTCTTTGATAATGTACACAAGTGGCAGCAGGAGGAGTCAGGGTTAGTTAGAGCAGTGGCATCTCCTCTAAAGATACAAAGGACAATGACCTGGTTCGCTGAATGTCCCAGGGGTAAAGGAATTTCCATTAAGTAAGATTCTGCAGGAATTTTGGTTGTGGAGTTGCATATGCACATATACAGTTCTGTGTTAATGTTGAGATGCTCTTGATATGTTCTCCAGTGTAGCCACAGCTTGTGCCTCTGGTTTTCATCTCATACAGGTCCTTCAAAGAGTAACAGTCAAATACAGAGCACCAGGCTATGCTCATGTTAATTTATGTCAGCATGTTTAGTGAAAAAGACCTTAGAAATGGTCTTCCATGAAAAAAGGTAGATAATAAAAAAATAAGTAGAATCAAAGAATGACTGATATTCAATGCGCATATTATTATGAACAAAAGCTCAGCTGATTCATTGAGTGCTAAAATATATATTTTTTTAGTTTTAAAATGAAAAGGGGCTATAAATTCTTGAAGTGTTGAATTTAAAATGTAGCCATAACTTTACTTCCTTTTGGGAATAACAAGTTTCCAGAAGTTGGCTGCTTAAAGAAAAACAGAAAGTCTGAAAGTATTTTGGCTTCAGTAGGGACATGTAAAAGTGTCAGGTACTGGTGCTGTTGAATGTGTTGTATAGAATAATTACTTACATTCAGGCACATATAACCTTTTTAGGGCTCTTAGTCGAAAGACCATAAAACATCTGAGATAGACCACAGTCTATTGCTTCCTGTTTCTACAGTGGCTAAAGCCTTAAAACTCTTCTTGTAGCAAGTATACAGATGGGAAAGCTAATTAAGACAATAGTGCCTTCAGAATACAACACAGATCATACGAGCAAGATATTTACAAGCTTTTGAAGAAATGAGAACCAACATAAATGCTAGTATCAGTACGGATGCTAATTAGCCCATTCATTTTAACTCTGTCCACTGCATTTTGGTAGTAAGTCTAATGACAAACATGCCTGATAAACACTGGACTTTTAAGGGACCTTTAAGATAATGAAGATTCTGGATTATATTTATTCTTTGTTAAAATGTGTCTGTGGCTGTGCTCACCTACTGCGATGTTACCGCCCAGTACCCAGACTCCCCACACTCCATTGTCATCTGTCTGTTTTTCATCTGTGGTTCTTTTTCAGTTTCAGGAAGATGACTTTGGTCATGTTGGGCCTTGGTCATGTTGGCCCTTAAAACTGCGACAGACAGAGGGATTTTTTTGAGGAGGATAATTTCCCCTACAGCATGCTGTCATGGAAAGAAAATCCCATGACTCACAAGACTGTGAAACATTCCATAAACAGTCGTTTTGCAGCTGGTTGTAGGTGATTGGGAAAGATACTGTTCCTGAGTATTTTGTTTTGTTTTTTATTATCTTACCTTTAATTTTTTACTAATTTATTAAGCTTTTCTGTTTCTTTTCAGTTCATACCTCATGAATAAAACCTAACATGTAATCCATATAGCCTTCGGGAGCCTGATGATGGACCAACCGCCCCCCCCCGTGTTTCTCCCTTGCCATTTGCTGCTGTCAGATTAGTGCTTCCTTTGCTTGACAGTACCTGGTCCTGCCCCTCCCCTCTGCAAACATCACTCTGAGCTGAGACCTTAATGAATGGACACTTACAATACAAGCTTTATCTTTCCTTGGTTAATGACATTTTGATATAATTTTACAATAAACACACCAGCTGTACTGGTAATTCTGAGGAAGATCTCTCAATCAGTAAAGTCTTTCTTTTGCTGGAAATAATCTGTTATCTATTAGGAAACTTCATATTTAATGTATGATTTACATTGTGCTTTTTAAAAGAAAGATTCATTTGGGGTGAAAAAAATGCCCTGCTCTATTTTAAAATTCGAATTTCATTATTTGGGTTAATTTTCTTTTTTTCTTGTCAATGTTAAAGACATATAAACCAAACAAGACTTTGAAATATAAAGGGATAACTCCAAAATCTAAAAACTGGAAATTTACTGCAAAAAATATATTTACATTTATATTACAAATATTGACAAAAACTTCACATCTGGGAATGACAGAGTACAAATAATCTACACAAAGTGTGTTTAAGCCTGTATCATTTTTGATTTTCATTTCATGTGAATTGATCACACGCTTCTTAGGCATTGAATGTATTTTCCAAAGCGACAGGAGGCTGCCTTTCAGCTTTGTGACGCTGCTGAGGATACAGAAAGCGTGGTATGATTTGAGTCACTGCCGTGCTTCCTGTTTCCCATCCAGCTTTGCCTTTGTTCCTCTCCATCCTCTCAAAGTGTACCGTGCCCCTTTCCTTCAGTTTTTGCCAAACAAAAATTGCTTCTCCGTTGGTTTTGGCTGAAAGCCACTAATGCCACAGCCTGCCACAGCAGACTGCTTGCCAGAAACGGAGCTTTGCGGGACTCCTGGGCAGCTCAGTCGGTTAAGTCAGTCTTCTCCAGCGCCAGCCGGGTGCACAGCTCATATCTAGGTCTGGTTCTTAAGGGAGGGGCCAATTGGTCACTGGTTGCCAGTGGCGACGTTTGTGCTGTTCCTCCAGTTGCTGCTGGTCAGTACTCAGCCATGTGATGCACGATATTTGATGGGAGTTGCTTTTCTGCATATTTTCCAAGGACAAAAACAGCAGCAGCACAATCTCCTTAAAGGGTTCCTTTTCTTATATCTGACAGCCATTTTGAATTTTTCATTGGAGGCTGCCACATAGTCCTGTGTGTTCTCCACGTTTCTCTGGATGTTCTCTACATGCTGTCCCTGCTCCTCGACCAGCAGGTAGACCTCCAGGAAGAGGTCTCGTAGGTCTCTCATGTTGCCCTCCAAGCTCACCAACTCCCTATGACGCTGCTCGATCTCTGAGAGCTGCATGCGGGTGATTTTTGCCTCATGCAAGATGTTCTCATTGAAGACCTCCCAGTGGCCCTGCACCATCATGTTGTCCACTTCCGCTTCCAGTACTTCTCGGCCTGACACTTCCAGTTGGCGGATTATGAATTGCTTGCACTTGTCCTGCTTGCTGATGAGTGAGCTGTTGTACTCACTCATGACCCTCTGAAAGTAGCGGAAGAGGCTGGCATGCTGGGCTCTCTGGATACGGGTCAATGCAGATTGTGGGCCGCTTTCTGCCTCGCTGCTCTTCACCTGCCTGGACAGGCCATCTAGCCTTTTGTAGAGGCCCTCAGCCAGCAGCTTGATGTCCCGTGTGATGTTGCTTTCCTTCTTCATGATACTAAAGCGCCGCATGGCTGCCACCAAGGTCCTTTGCTGCTGGCGGAACTTCTTGACCTCAGCATCCAGGTCGTCGATTCCCTCACGGATCTGCTGCACCTCGCTCAGGAAGTTCTCCAGGATTGGCTCTGCCTCAAAGATCACAGCCTGGGGAGCAACCAGTATGCGATCATCCTCCACTGTGGAAGAATCTTCTATGCGTACTTCACCAGTGTCCCTCATCCTCTGCTGTAGCTCACCCAAGCGGTCCTTCATGGTGGTTTTAACACTTAAAATGTTTTCCTACTTGATGGTTCAGTGGACTGAACTTTATCCAGTTTCTCCAATATTTCACCCCTATAAATCAAGCAAAGGTGAAGATTAATTAGAAATTTCTTTTCCTTTCTTGGTGTAACTTATTATTTCTGCGTAACCTCGGTTGTGTGTTATTTTATGTTACATGCACACATATGCTGCAGTGGCTTATCATGTCCAATTTTGCCTCTATTGCTTCTGGCCTTACTAACTATGACATCATCAAATACCTACTGAAAGCAATATGACAGGTCTATGTAAATATGTACTTTGGTGTGTACATTTACAGTGTCAACCTGAGTGTGGAAAATCAATTTGCTATCAAACAGGAAGTCCACACAAAACACTAACATATTGCATTTTCACTTCTTATTTAAGCATATTGGCTTCTAATTTTTGGTCTTCCTACATTTGTATTTTCTTGTAATTTCAAATATTAGGTAAGTTTATTGATCAGTGTCTACTCATTCATTTTCACCTGAAACACATCAAAATACTTTTACAACAAACAGAACAGTTAAAAAAAGTCTGTATAATGATGAATCTCCATTTCCACCGAATTATGTAGTCATATGGACAGTCTCTGTGGATAGTTTTGGTGGACAGTTTCTGTGACTAATGTCACTGCACTAATTGTCTGTTCTTATTTGAAACTTAATGTTGATAATAAACCTTTCCACCCAGAGCTAGTTTTGATGTGTTTTGGAGTTTTAAATCTGATGAAAATATCGGATTCTGCTAAAGGTCCTGTGGACACTGCAGTGGCTGAGGGACATACCATGACATCACTGCAGTGGCTGAGGGACATACCATGACATCACTGCAGTGGCTGAGGGACATACCATGACATTCCCAGATGTAAATTGTAGCATTTTAATATCCTTACTAAAAGCTTGCCCAGAAATATGATCCTTAGTCCAAATACTTCTGACGTTTTATCAAATGAAGTTATTTTTGCTGAGATTTAGATGGCCTTTTTTTGTGTTATTGTCAATTAGCTAGAACCATTGCCCTTCAGGTTTGGGGGTTTGATTCCTGGCCCCGTTGTGTGTGTGTGTGGGTACGGAGTTTACATGTTCTATCTGTGCTGCATGGGTTTCCTCCACCGAAATGCAGTTAGGGGAATGCCTGTCTCCACACTGCCCATTGTGTGTGCGTAAGCATGTGTGTGTATTCTCTGATAGGCAGGGTGAAGGTGTACCCTGGGCTGGAAATTAAGCTCACCAACTCGCCTGGGGTGAGTAATTTAGAAGATGGGCGAGTACGAAAAATCTAAACACTCGCCTGCTGGCTAGCAAAAAAATTAAATGCCGGACTACAACAAAGAGCCACATTATGTTGCGTGCTCGTCTCTTGGCACCAGTACAAAGACCATCTAAAAATTCTCCGATGTGATATTGTGTTCTTGGCCAATCCTAGTTACAGAACTGTCCCAGGTAGCCAATCAAATTGAAGGGCTTGTTTCATCAGTATTCAGCGTTAGATTCTCCATTTTCCAGAGTGAAGAATTAGTAAAGACATTGGCAAGCTAGATTGAAAAGAAATTGAAAAATCTAACTAGATTTAATGCATTGTTTTTTTTCTCAACCCACTTGACTTTCACTGAAAGGTCCTAATGAGGACTTCAAAACCATCAAGATGCAAGAATCAGAAAATCCTTGGATAACTGGATGCCTGGTAGGGATTAACTCTGTATAGACTATGTTACCATGTGGGGCTCTGAAAGAGTAAATTGTTTATGGAAATTAATTAATGATATACTGTAATTGTTAATTTATTATTGTAAAATGTAATGGACTTTGGTTGGTCTTTATGCTTGAAAATTACATTGTAGGCTACTGAAAATTTATCTGGTCTGGTCTGTTTTTTACAGAACTACCAGGTTGGCTTGTAGCAGAAATTCTGAAGTTCCACCCCTGGTTGTACCTCACTGGGATAGGATCCGGGCCCCACTGCAACCCTGTACTGGAAGAAGATATATGGATGGTCGAAAACAGGCAACCTTTTTTTTGTGTAAGAGTTCAATCCTTTTTGTAAGCATTCGGGCTGGAATGTGACTGAGATCATGTGAACATAATCTTTCGAGAGCTCATAAGCCAGAGGGTGCCCATTTCATTCTTGAAAAGGTTAAAATTAAAACGTTCCAGATCAGTATACAATATATCCAGTTACTGGATGGATTCCAAACAGGAAAGACTGCAAAAACCTCTGTGTGCATTGTGCAGCTCTCCCAATGTGCTTAGATGGCAGCTTATTGATATAAGTGTGCCCGTTGTTCCTCACAGCAAGGGCTCCATGGTGAGAAGAGACTCCGAAGGCTCGCTGGGACCATTTTGGAAGTTTCAGCTTCCCTGTTTATGCCACATGGGACAAATGCAAATATTTTTTTCAATTTAAGTGTTGCTAATTTCAGAAACAGGTTTGAAAATTTCCCACACCTTTATTATGCTTGTTTCATCACTTAGCCTTATGAACTGAATGGCACTGTGATATCTCAAAGTATTGGTGTTATTAAAGGGCCCTTCATTAAATAGTATCATGTGAGCAGTTTATACCTTCTCTTTAGCTTCACTCTTAACATAACTACTGACCTGTTGCACAGCCCTTCATAAGCACAAAATAATCTTTGTTCTGACACTTTACATATTTATTGGATTATTTCCCTTCACTGGATCTTTGTAGGCGACTGCTTTAGTACAGTTACTATGTACTAAATGTTTATACTGCATGATTTTTTTCTCTCTGTTTGCTCGGGTCACATAATCAAATATAAATGCTGAATGCTACAGTAACTGTCAAAGGGTAGTTTGAGGATTTTTCTGTGACTGAAGATTACTGCAATTACCGTGGAAAAATTCCATAAATGTAAGTGAACATACATTCACCTATAACCATCAACCCAGTGCCACTGGCATAATAAAATCATTCTTCATTGTCATTACAGTGACTGAGTACTGACCAGGAGCAAACAGTTATCAGCTGACAGCTTGTCCCCACCCAACCATACTTTTTGTAATCATAAATGTTTCATATATATTTATATATACAAATACACTCACACACGCACACGTTTTTTTTTTTCAGAAATCCCCCTTTTTTGATTACAGCCCGTATGGCTAAACCTAGCCTAGTTTGCTCAAGAATAGTAAGCACATTGTTCTACAATAGCACCAATCAGAGTGCTAGCAGCGGTCTTACCTTCTTGTAGTCTGGCATGCCTGAATCTGTGAATTCTAACCTCATAGAGAGACAAAGGCAACTTTCATATTCCAATATGTGGAAATCCAATCAAAAAACAGCATTTTCTGAGAAGGAGACATCCCTCCTCTGCTTTCTCTTCACCGGACACTCCTAACCACATTCCAGCAAGCAAACATGAATGTTTAGTTAGCTGAAGTTACTGCTGGCCCGGAGCAGAGCAGCTGAGGCCCTTGGGAAATCTTGTCTGGCCAGTTCCAGGCCACTCCTCCTGTCAGGACTTTATACGGCTAGTGGGTGGTGAAGCTCATTAGACTATCTGAAGGCTCCAGGGTGACGTGATTAAATCAAGTGGGGGTGGAGAGTGCATGCGGCTCACACCAGCATGGCCTTTGTTACAGGCCTCCTGAATGGGACTGTCACACCGGGGAGGCACGAGTTTGACTGATTGTTTGTGACAAGCCACAGAATTCCTGTAAACTCTCAGGAGAAACCATATGTCTTACTGTAGTGCCACCATTAAGTCTAATAGAGTGTCTTGTTGGTCAGTTGTTTCCTGTTGTGCCTTACACAGTAGATAGTCCTGAAAATGTATATCCAGTACTAAAAACTGCAGGACTATGAGAACATAATGCAGCCATCACTTCTGACCACTTATCCTGGTCAGGGATGTGGAGTCTGTATGAACAGGAAACATGGCTTTTTACTACTTCAGTGCTGTTAGATCACCCAGACGTTGCATTTCCAATGACACAATGACATAAAATTGTTCACTCAACATGGTTTGTTATGGAGTTAAGTTGCTAACAGAACTGGTTTAATCTACTCTCTTTCCTATGTTTAGATGCAATTCTGTCTTTGCTCAAGGATGCCAGTTACGGTTTGATGTCCTTGTAAAAGTCTAACAGTGCATATTTTTATTTAGTGTAAATAAGTGCAGTCTTTCAAATGCTATTATCCATGCATTTTACTTGGTATCAGGCATGGCAAACATCCAACTCTTATGTCATCTGTTTATTGTTTTTTTGTCCACAGCTCTTCTTTATAAAAAACCAGGCAAATTTTAATTTATGTACAATTTGTTATTTTATCCATCTGCCCAACATCCATCCATCTTCCAGCTACTTATACTAGTGAAGGTCACAAAGGAGTTGAAACCTTTCTCTGGGAACTACAGTATATCTTGGACAAGATGCTACTCCATCACAGCTGACAGGAAGTACATGTCAAACAAAAAGAAACAGATGGTATTGTTGCAGTTTGGGCTGACTGTAGCTGTGTTTCTCACCAAAGAATGTGCTACAATGATGTGTGGATAAGTCTGAGCTGAAGGACTGGGTGCACTCAGATTTACTCATCAAGTATTCATATGTAGATCCAACAGTTGGACATGCGTGTAATTTACTCATCCATTGGTTTTTGATAAGTAATTCATTCAGTCGTAATGACTGCTATTTGTGACTGTGAGGGCATAGGGTCAGTGGGAGAAGAATGTGAGGCAGCAGGCACCCTGGCAGGCTGGTGTGGGAGAGCAGGACAGCCCCGGAGGGAATGCGGGCAAAGTGGTGCTGCACAGCTGTAGCAAGATGCTTAGCTAGCAGCTCCAGCAGTTTCCAGAGGATGAATAAGAGGAGGATGAGGCAGTCTCCAGAGAGTGGTCTCACTGTTCTATCCTACTGCTACTACTACTACTACTACTACTATAATAATAATAATAAGAAGAAGAATAGTCAAGCAGTTCTCAAATAACATCAGCCTTATTTGACACATTTGTCTTTCCTTACCATTCAAGACACCTTATAGCAAAAAGCACATAAGCCAAAGCATATGAGTAATATGTACTAAAGAACACATATTTCATAAAATAAAAGGATAAAGTGTAAATTTACTTACAGGCTTATGTTGCCTTTTTGCATTACAGCTTCCGTAAACACTATGTATCTTGGATATTTCATATTTACTGTATTCAGAATATACAGGTCCTTGGTATGTGAGATGCTACTTTTGCTTTACGTTTTTCTGACCTGCAGCTTATTAATGTCTGCTTAACGCTGCAAAGACGTTCTTAGTACATGTGCCAGCCCCCCCACAGTGGTACAACTGCAGATCCTAAGGAGCAGTAAGATCCTTCCTTCACAGATCTTGGGAACGCTCACACTATAACCCGTAAGTTTAATCAAGCAGGGAATATCAGCCTGTGGGGGAGGGATGTGGGAGTCTGGCAAAACCTCCATGGAAGGCTGATTGCCTGCCGTGTCTTGCTGCCACTCCAGCATGTCAGGCCAAGAAGAGGACGAAGCAGCTTTGTTTAAAGAGGAAGCAGAGAGTGGACCCACGAGGATTAGATGAGACAGCTGGGGGAAACCTATCCCTCCAGCTACTCCTAGTAAGAGCCAAAGTGCAGAGTTGCGAGTTAGACAAAAGAGGAGCCTCTAGGTGACAAGGACTGAAGAATGTCATTATTCAAAGATGAACTGAATGCACATGCTGTTTACCTGTGGCCAGATTGATCCATATGATACTGTATGTTATGTCACGGTGATGTTATGAATATGACCACATTGAATGCTGGCGAAAAAACTGATTATTCTGTGCATATTTTGTTTATAAGTATAAAATGAAATAGATCTTTCTGTAATTGGATGAGCTATGCCTAAAATTGCTGTACTTCTATTTTTTTTAATTTATTGCTTTAATTTTAGCATCTGCGCTGTCATTATTTAATGCTTTATAATTCTCATTAACATTTATTTATTATAAATGTCTTTTCAGAATGTTCATTTTGCTCACAGAGGAAATAGATAAATGATAAAAGAAAAAATATATTCTGCTCAGTTAGGTCTCACATTTTCAGTGTATTTATTTCTCGGGAATTACTTTTTTTGGAGTCAAAATAATTAGCATTGTGTATTTCCAGTGCTTTATGTTGAATTAGGTGCTTTAATCAGCGGTTATTTTGTTTCACAAAATACCTGGGTTAATATTAATATTAATATTGGCTTTACTTGTGATGCAGCAGTAACCTGATTTACACATTACATGTGTCTAATGTATGTTACGGTATTTTGGGTAACCGTTTATTAAAGCTCAGTATACTGAGGAGGATTCTGAGGAAAGCAAAGAATATGCTTTTTTTTTTGAAAACTTGTTTAAAACTGTTCACATTTTAGATCATAAAACCTGACCAGTAAAATATGTTTTAGTTTTTTAAAAGAAAACCTGCTAGCAAAATTTGTTGGGTTCACTAATTTATTTGCATTTTCTCTTTGCAAGTCTCTACCTCCTGTTGCTGTCAAGCAAAGACCTAACAGCAATACTCTGATATAATCTCCTAATCCCCCAGCAGTTTCTACAAATCACATATTTTCCCACTTTGTTTTTCAAGCGTGTGGCGTGTTGAGAGGCACACGGGGCCTAGCACATGGCCTGCCAAGCCACACACCAGGAACACAGACCCAGTTTATCGCATGCCAGGCGATGCTTAGTCCTTTATATGAACTGTCACTTAGCAACTGAATGGGTGCCTGGTGCCATGCCTGGACAGGAACAATTCAAGGTATTTTCTACAGTACATACTTTGAGAAGATTAACTTCAGAGAGGATTGATCACTAAGAGGTTCTTTAGTGACTTAAATTATGTTGAACACAGAGACAACACAACTCTATTATTTTCTGTCTGTGTATTGTGCAAAAGCCCAGCTTCATTGGTCATCCTACAGTAGTTTTTATAGATTTCCAATAGCAGGTTTTTACTCCTTTTCTTACCCATGTCTTGTAACCTGACTACTAGTTTGATGAAATTAACACATAAATATATTTATTTAATTAAATGGGGGTTAGTCAAATACTGATTTTTACTGATTTTGTACACTTTAGTGGATCAGAGTGCTTTTCAGTGAATTGTTACAATTTTTACAAACATTAACAATTGGTAAATGCAAATGTTCTGTAGATATCTAGGCCTATTTTTTCCAATTATTTTTTTTTGTTTCAATACTGATATATTTATATATGTTAAGAATTTTAGACACATTACAAAATAAAGTAATTATGGGCTGTGTGTAATTTTCCATGTCATTTTTGTCTTTTCTACGCTCCCTGTTTTCCAGTCGACTGAGTGTGATGCAGATTTCTTGAGCGCTGCCTCACTTTCCCCCTTTTTCATCTCTCCTACTCTTCTAACTAGCCTGTCTCTGTGGCCATGTGCAGGAACCCCATTATTAGAGTAAAAGTCTCTTCATCTCTTAACACTGTATTTGTCCTCAGCAATTTGTTACCTGTGACATATAAAGTCAGTTCTCGATTGTTTTGATTGCTTTACTGAAGGGAAGTCATATGGAAAAACAATGTGCATTTACCATTTATCACAGTTGCATCAGCATCCTGTAAGCAAAAATGAAAAACACACCTGCAAAGATAAATAACATTGGCTTGCTTTGCTCATCAGCTGATAAGAAGGGATTTCATCTGCAGATAAAACTGATGTCACAAAGCTAAGGTAGCCTTTTACTACTTCATTTACCAAAAATCTTTTCACTTCTTTAATGAAAAGCCTGCCTAGGCAGCCCCAACCCTCTCAGATTCATGGGTTTAACAGGAGGTAGGGACACATTTTACTTTGCTTTTTAAATTAAATTTAAGCAATTGAACTGTATTTTACAGAAAGGAAATGTTACACTATTTTATCTATACAGTGTTAAGGCTGGGTCACTGATGGAAAGCAATGTTAGCAAAGAAGGAGTACTCTGAATTATTAAATACCCTACTGCCTCGTTTCATGAAACATATGAATCAAGTAATCAGAAAGGCTTTGTATGGTTTAATCTGGGAAAAAACTGTTTTTAACTGAAGATAAGAAAATTCAAATGATTTTGGAATATAATAATATTTATATATCATTTCACAAATGAAGAGTTCAAAAGTTTCAGAGTATATTAACTAAACCTTAAAAAGGTGTTTTAGGGTTTTTAGAAAAACCTTTCTGAAAAGCAGTCATACAGTGACATCACATCATAGAATAACATCCCAGATTGGAGTTGGAGCTGTATTAGACAGATTCTGGCCAGCATAAAATGCAAGGGAACCGAGCCTAATCAGTCGTGTTTTTTTCCCATTATGCTTTTCCATGTGATCTAATTTAGAATTTGTCATTATTTTCCTAGTGTGACATGTGACCATATTTATGCACAATACAATGCTTAGCACTGATTGTTCATTTCAAATGGGACATCTAAAATCTGTT